AAAAAAAATAAAAATAAAAATAAAAAATAAAAAAGTAAAAAAGTAAAAAAAGTAAAAATAAAAAAGTAAAAAAGTAAAAACAAGTAAAAATAAAAAATAAAGTAAAAATATAAAATAAAAATAAAATAAAATAAAATAATTAAAGAAATAAAAAAACCCAACCCCAAAACCACCACTGCAATAGGCATGCACAGACCTGCTGGGTCTCAAAAAGGAGCAGCTCGGGTTGGATTTCAGCACGTCGTCGGGAGGGCTGTAACCGTAGGGAGGCAGCAAGAGAGGCCAGACGCCACCCAAAAAGCCCCAGCGAGCTTTTTCCCCTCGGGCTCTCGCTAAGAGACCCATCCCATCCTCCACGACCAATTCGCCATGTGCTCCCCCACCACTCCCCCCCCAATTTTATTTGGTTTAATAAGAGCAAATCAAATGAAATCCGGCCAGGCGGGACTATCCTTACTGATATTGCTCACGTGAGATGCTGTCTGCAGCTCTCGGTGAAGGTAATTCCCCAACTGGAAAACGGCCCTTTGAAGACAAATTCCAGTGGAAAGAGGGAAAATATACTACTTTTTACTTCTTTTTTTTTTTTTTCTTCTTTTAAGGAAAACACCAAACTCACTCCTGCCAGCTCGCAGAGGGTGAAGGCTCTTTTCCAGCTCTCCCCAGGCTGGATGGGAGAGAGGAACTGGCCACACTGGTCCAGCGCCAGCCTTGCTAACGGCGGAAACACCCACACCCCAAAAAAGCACCCCGGGTAAGCGACTCCTCCGTCACCGCTGGGTAAAAAGCTCCAACTCCCACCGGAATTCCGGAAATTCTGACACTTCGGTGCAGCCGAAACGTGGAAATATTAATAAACTCCGCTTCCCTCAGCCAGAGAAGCAAACAGCGCCGAGGAGGGGGCGAGGGCAGGGGGGGGGAACCCAGCTACGTGCACGGTATGTGTTTTTCCTACCCGATTCGCACTTAATTTGGACAAAAAGTGCCAGAAAGTCGGGCTGGGTGAACGCCGAGGGCATCACGGGGGGATATCTGTGGAGGGATGCGTCTCCCCCGCACGGACCTGGACCGCACGTGGCAGCAGCGCCGGCGCGGGTGGCAGCGAGGCACGGTCCAGAGATGCTCCGCGGCCGGTTTTCACCTCACTGCCAAAAAATTAGGATTATCACATGGGCGAAAAGCCCTCAGACCCACCTAAAAACCGAACCAGCTGAGGACAGCGGGATGTACGTACCCAAAGGGACATCTCACCCTCTGGGCCAGGCACCTTTTTTTTCCCGCCGGCTCTACGGTTTGCGGGACGTTGGCGTTGGGAGCAAATAACCCCCAGAAACATCTGCGGGGGGAAAAGTCAACCATGGAAAGCAAATACAGATGATAACTCTTCACCCATCTCTGCAACCCGGCAAAGCACGAAGGAAGCGAGGGCAACCACCCGCTGCGAAAGCCGGCGTGGAAAGATGCCTTCACGAGAAAGGCGTCCGCCGGGAGAGATTTCTGACTAATGCTACTCTACCCGTTAGGAATTTGGTGGCTTGGATCAGCTTGGGAATTATGTTAGGGATGGCAGCATCTTCCCACCATGGTATGAGACACCCTTGCAAAAAAAAAAAAAAAAACAAAAAAAACCCACCCAAAAAGCGCGCCAGATTTTCACACGTGGATGCCTGCAGCAAATCACAGCGCGTGGAAGGTGCCACGGGTTTGGCATCCATGAAGAAAAAAAACAATCAGCTCGCTCACGCAGCTAAATATGGGTTTAGGAAAGACCGAATGTGTACTCTCTTTTTCAAGAACTGAGGTTTTTTGGCTCCTCCCCTCATCTCATTATTTATAACCTCAGTCTCCGTTTATACACAGCGCAATCTCTTTGTGTACACAGCCGTCATCCGCAGCATCCCACAACGCTTCCTCCGACCAGAAACCAGCGGCCAAGAGCGGTCCTGCGCCTCCCACGCACGCTGTACCGGGACCCAAAAGCCGCCGTCCCCTTCCGAACCTGGTGGATAACCTCCGGCAAAAGTCCGCAGCAATTCCAGGGGTACGTGCGGTTATCGACGAGCAACAAAGTCACCTACAGCCGGTGGTGCTCCCCGGGTTGGGTTAGTCCCGATGTATCACGACATTAACAACCGTCCCGACCGCGTACATCCCTCCCGGATGCTCTGCTGGGGTCATGTCGGAGGTACAGCGCGGTCACAAACACCATCCTCCCATCCCATCCACCCCCCTCACCGCACGCCGGTGCCGTTTCTCGCTCCGTTTGCTAAATCAAGCTCTTTTCACTGTGGTTTTTTTTTTTTTTTTGGGGGGGGGAGGCAGGGGAGCATCTTCTTGGTGTCACAACTCCTCCAAAGGGGACAAGACCCTGAGCAGATAGAAGCTGTCAGACTAATTGAAGCCAGAGGAACCGTACAGCAAATCCACACCGGCCAGAAAAACCCACAAGAGAGAGAAACCAACTGCTACGTTGGCCGTACCGCAAAATCCTCTTCACCCGGGGGGTGGAGGGGGAGCAGAGCCCCCGCTCGGGCTCTGTCCTCCTGACCTCTTCCCCCAGCCTGCCACGGCCACATCTGCTTCACCAGATGATGGGAAATTGCTGCTTGAGGCCAGGGCATTTATTTGTTGGCCACGGAGCAATAAATACATTGCAGGAAGAAAAAGAAAAAAAAGGAAAAAAAAAAAGAAAAACAGTGATATTTTTTTTTTTTCTCTTCCCTAGTGCTGCTGGAGCTCCACACGAAGAAATAAAACATCTGTGAGACAACACATCAAGCCACGACGCTAACGAAACAGAAACGAAGGTAAAAAGGGATGAAGCAAGCGCCCCGAGCTGCCAATCCTGGGTGGAAGAGCCACCTCCTTCCTTTAGATGAAGCTTCAAAGAGTGGGCTTGGGGGTACCACGGATGGGAAGACAGGTATGGCTGGATAAATCCACGCGCAAAAGCATCCTGCGGTACAAGCGCCACCCTAAAGCGGCACGGCCGCCGCAACCCGTGGCCGAGGGACGGCTGGAAGAAGGGCAAAAATGATATAAAAATGATAATAAGGCCAACCGCCGCCCGAGAAGGGGCGCAAGGGGCTGAGATGGGAGAACCTGGGGCTAGAGCCTCGAAAAGGCTGGAAAAGTCAAACTAACGCCTGGAAAAGTCAAACTAACTCCTACAAAGTCAAACTAACTCCTACAAAAGTCAAATGAATGCCTACAAAAGTTAAACTAAAGCCTACAAAAGTCAAACTAAAGCCTACTTGAGATGGAGCCTAACAGTAGAGTGGGAGGAGAAACCCCCCAAAACCATCCTCGCGGCTTCCCGGCCGTGCCGACCGCTTCCAGCATCCCTTCGCTCGTGATGCCAAGGGGAATTATACCCGCCAAACGCAACCTGCACACTGGAAAAAAAAAAAAACCAACAACCAGCTTTTCCTTCCAGGCGCAGCAGCGCTAGTTGCTCGCTGGACTTCTAGGAAATACCTTTAAAAGCTTTCAAGCCTGCCCGAATTCGCCAGCCCCGGCGCGCTCCGTGTCACGGAGGCATTTCTGCAAATTCACAGCTTCATCCCATTCCAAACAAGATGCTGCAACAGGTGTGGATTACGTGCTAAAATTGCTGGCAAAAAAAAAAACCCACCAAACTACTATATTTAGGCGAAATGTATATTTCTAGCTGGTGCTGCTCTATCATTTCTGCTCGTATAGTAACACCAGGCGCTGTATAAAAAGAAAGGAATGCCAAATTGTTTGTGCTAGCAGCCAAAAATGACTAAGGAACTCCCAGAATAAAATAACCCCCCAAAAAAAAAATTTTTTTTTTTTTTAAAGAAAAGCAAAATAAGACGTTTATTCTAACCCAGGAGTAATGAAAGCGGTACCAGGAGAAAACAGCAGACGCTGGCACCTAAAACAAGAATTAAATTGGCTCAAAGGGAATTTGAAGGGCGATGGGCCAAAGGTATTAAAAAAAAAAACAACAAAACAAAAACCAAAGAAACGATCCCTCAAGTGTATCAAAGGTAGGAAACCCACGGGCAGACCAAACGCCAGGGCTAAGGAGCCATTTAAGTAATTAAAGCGCTGCGGCGGTAAGTTACGGATGCTGAACTGCCCTCACCCTGCACCCAAAAAGCCCAAAGGCTCTGAGCACGTCAGCTATTAGGAAAACAAAAAAAAAAAGAGGTCCTCCCCCAAAAAGATGCTTAGTGAGAGCAAGACAGCACGCTAACAGTGATTTTGGGGGATGCTGGAGCTCACGTAGCCCTATTTAAGAGGTGGGACATGCAGAGAGAAAGTTCTTGAAGTGGTCCCAAGGTAAAAAAAAGGGGGAGCGAGGATGCAGCAGCATCACCGGCAGCGTGGGTACCCGTCCCGGAGGTCCGCAGACATAACAGCATCTGGCACGGTCCACCTCTGGACAAGGGACAGCACAGGCATGGGACAGACTGTTTTCAACCCCGTTAAATCAATATCGCTGCGCATACAGCCGAGGGACGGAGCGCTCGCACGTGTAGTGCCCTGCGTACACCCGAGCCACGCCGGGGAAAGGGAACCCGCAGCAGCCAGCCGGCAAAAGGGGGAGACGGGCGGCGCAGA